CCGGCCCGGGGCTCCCCGGCACGAGGCGGGGCCGAGGGCTGCCCCGATCCCCGGAGCAGGCTTGCATCGGCACGGCCCCTCCAGCGCCTGCCCCCGGGGCGCAGCACCTTCGCCCTCAGCCCGGCCTCCAGCAGAGCAGCCCAAGGGCTCTCCGGGAAAGCAGCCCCAGTGCCTAGGTGTGGGAGGATGCACTCCCAGCCAGCCCTTCGCCTCCAAGCACACGGGAGCTCTAGCACAGTGAGGAGGAGGACGGCTGGGAACGGGGCCCTGGGGTCCAGCGCCTGAGCCTGGACCACATATGTTCTCCTGCTGGTCCTGAGAAAGTCATAGATTTCATAAGCATTAGGGCTGGAAGGGACCTCGGAAGATCATCGAGTCCAGCCCCGCGGGGGCTTGCACACCAGCATAATGATGGTGCCCAGGTGCCTCCCCTGAGCCGGGCCCTGGCGTGGGGTTGCTGGTTCCCAGGCTGCAGGACTCGCTGCCACGAGGAAGTTTCCAGACCCAGAACTTAGCGAGGTGCTGGGCAGAACAGGCCCCTCCTCGCTGTGGACCACAACACGGATTGGAAAGGAGAGAAAACCTCTCGCTTTGGGGTGTAAACACACATGGAGAAAGGATGAGGAGGGTCCCCTAATGCCTGCCCACTCTGGGGGGGGGGGGGGTGCTCCTTGTCCCCTTCCTCTACTGCTTCTGGGATGGGGGCACTGCTGGAGACAGGACACACGACTCGGGGGTCGCGATGACAAACTCCCAATCACCTCTGTCCCGGCTGGGGTTGGACTAGGTGCCCTATGGAGGGCCCTTCCAGCCCTGCTTCCCTAGGAGTCTACCACTGTTTTCATAGTTTCATAGTTGGTCGGGTCAGAAGGGACCTGAGCAGATCATCAAGTCTGACCCCCTGCCAGGGCGGGAAAGGGCGCTGGGGTCAAACGACCCCGGCAAGGTGTTCATTCAGCCCCCTTTTTCCGGCTGGGGTTGGACTAGGTGCCCTATGGAGGGCCCTTCCAGCCCTGCTTCCCTAGGAGTCTACCACTGTTTTCATAGTTTCATAGTTGGTCGGGTCAGAAGGGACCTGAGCAGATCATCAAGTCTGACCCCCTGCCAGGGCGGGAAAGGGCGCTGGGGTCAAACGACCCCGGCAAGGTGTTCATTCAGCCCCCTTTTTAAGACCCCAGGGTAGGAGCCAGCACCACTTCTCTTCGAAGATGGTTCCAGATCCTAGCCGCCCTGACTGTGAAGTAGTGCCTCCTGATGTCTAGCCTGAACCTACTCTCCATCAACTTGTGGATGTTATTCCTTGTTACTCCCAGTAGTGCTCGGGGGAACAGGGACTCTCCCATTGCCTGCCGGTCTCCCTTGGCCAGTTTATAGACGGTCACCAGGTCCCCCCTCAGCCTTCTCTTGTGAAGGCTGAACAGGTTCAGGTCCCGTCGCCTCTCCTCGTAGGGCCTGCCCTGCTGCCCCCTGACCATGCGGATGACCCTCCTCTGGACCCTCTCCGTGCTGGCCACATCCCTCCTGAAGTGCGGCGCCCAGAGCTGGACGCAGTACTCCAGCTGCGGCCTGACCAGTGCCGCATAGAGGGGGAGGATCACCTCCTTGGACCTGCTCATGATGCATCTGTGGATGCATGACAAGGTGCGGTTAGCCTTCCTGACCGTGTCCCCACACTGTCGGCCCATGTTCATTTTGGCATCAATAATGACTCCAAGATCCTTTTCTGCCTCTGCACTGATGAGAAGGATGCTTTTGGTGAGCCATGGGAGCTTTTGAGCACTCCTGTCCCCTTGATCCGCGTGGGGATTGTCACCCTTTGGGCTTGGAGGATCGTCTCCTTAAGGAATGACCACTCTTCTTGGACTCCTGACTCCCCTCCCCGGCTAGTCTCCTTACCTCATTGAAATCCACCCTTACAGTTACAGTATTCATTATTGTAACTTCATTAGGGCTTTGGGAAATGGACCCTGGCTTCCTTTCTCCCCTTTCATCCTCCCTCAGGTGGAGACAGCACAGCAGCCAAGACGATTAGCGTCGTACTATCCTTGACATGCTAGCACTGATGCAGAGCATCTGACTCCATTTCCCTAGCTCAGAGTCATAGAAATGGGGGTGGAAGGAGGTCATATCTAGTCCAAGTCCCTGCTCCAAACAGGACCGGCCCCACCTACAGCATCCCAGCCAAGGCTTTGTCTAGCGGGGTCTTAAAAACCTCCAAGGATGGAGACTGCACCACCTCTCTGGGTAACCTGCTCCAGAGCTTCACCACCCTCCTCATGAGAAGGTTTTTCCTAATATCCAACTTAAACCTCCCTTGCTGCAACTGGAGCCCATTGCTCCTTCTGTCATCTGCCCTCACTGAGAACAGCCCAGCTCCATCCTCTTTGCAGCCCCCCTGCAGGGAGCTGAAGGCTGCTATTCAATCCCCCTCGGTCTTCTCTTCTGCAGACTGGATCAGCCCAGTTCCCTCAACCTCCTATATGATGTCTCCCAGCCCCCAAACCACTTTTGTTGCCCTCCACTGGACTCTCTCCAATTTGGCCACATCCTTTCTGTAGCGGGAGGCCCGCAACTGGACACAGGATCCAGATGTGGCCTCCCCAGTGCAGAATAGAGGGGAGGAATCACTGCCCTCGATCTGCTGGCAACACTCCTGCCAATGCAGCCCAGGATGCCGTTTGCCTTCTTGACAACAAGGGCACGCTGCTGATTTTACCAAGAGCACCAGTCACACCACCTGCTTTTGGCGGCCTGTGAGTAAGGAAACAAGCTACATCACATCGGCACAGGGGTGTAACCCCCCAAAATAGAAGGGGATGGGACAGCAGAGGCCATTGGTCCTGGAAAAGTCTATTCCAGTTGGTCACCTTGTTGGCATTTCTTGCTGGGATGGCGTGGCTCTTTCCTGCATGTCAAATGCTGGGTCCTTTCAAGTGTGGTGCCCCACACATGCACCACCCAGTCAAGGACATTGCCAGCATGACCCCAGGCACCGCAGCAAGCAGCAGTCCCATAGCTGTGGGGGAGGGAGGAAGAAAGAGCCTGGCACGAGGCCGCACAGGGAGGTAGAGAAAGAACCAGCTTCCCCTTGTCCCCAGCCAGCCCCTTAACCTCATCCCTCCTCCTTCCTGCTTTTCTAGGCCTGCTACCAGCCGTGGAAATACTACTTATACACAAAGGGCTTGAGATCGTCTTCTTGAGATTCACGTATGGCTGTTATGGCAGAAGCAAACGCAGTCCAAAGGTGTTTGGAAAAGCTCAGTGTCTGAACTGCTTTTTCCAATTCATCCTGGAAATCTTAAGTATTTAAAAGGGTCAAGAGAACATGCGTCCTCGGGTTGTGAAGGACAGAAGGGAGGAGGGAGATGGAAAAAGCCCAGGGAAACCAATACTTTTCACACGTCTTTAATGCAGCACGGAGAGCAGGAATTTCAAGGTCTCTGTGTCCAGCTGGGATTCGACCATTATCACAACCTCTCCCTTTTAACCTCCCTTCTCAGCTGCATTTAGAGCCAATGGTGTGCGCAGGGGGGCCGGGGCGAGTGGCAGGGCTCGATACGTGCCAGAAGCTTCCCAAGCAATGAAGTTCATCAGCCGTTAGCAGGAACAGAACTGCTGTCATCCGACCTTTCCCCTTGCTCACCGACGCTGCAGTGGGGCTCCTGGGCCGTGCTCCCGTGTCAGAGTCCGTGGATTGGATTAGCTGGCGTGCACTTTGCCCTGCACAATTTCCTTGTGTCTTTTTGCAGCTGGGCAAGTGGAAGGCACTCCACATGCATCCCGAGGGGGGCTTTCACTGTATTGAGCCATAACACAAAGTGCAGATGGTGGCGTATGCAGGCATTTCACACCCTTCTCTTTGCGCACGGAAGGAAGGGGCTCTGCCTTCTTGCACATCTGCGTGTGCGAGCGCTGCTGACAAGTGCCGGGTTATCAGGCCCAGAGGCTACAGCCCTACACACCCCACCACCAAGCACAGTTGTGTAAGCTTACTACCAGCCCTGCCCTCCCCGTGAACCTCTGCCCCACAGTGCAAGCTGCACTCTTGAACCAAGAAAGGGAGTGCGCGGTCTCCAGGGCTGAGACAGAGCCTTGACTGGGCCTGCAAACGGAGGACTCATCACCGTGAGTGCAACGTGAAGTGAAATGAAACCAAACGCACTTTGTAAAAGCTGCTGAAAAAAATTCTGTGAAATAGTCTTTGTGCCAGCCTCCTCCAGGCCCTCAGCCTCACTCCCTCCTTAATGCTGGTGTATCTTCAGCATCTTCAAATGTAACTTCTGTGCAGACGGTGAGCTCTTCAGGGCAAGCACTGGCTCCTGAACTGCAGGCCTGTGCAGTGACTCTGCCAGGGGACCCCAACCCTGCCTGCGGCCCACGGACATTACAGGCCAAATAATAAAATAATACTGGCTAACTAATAAATAGGAGGCACATCGAGCCTACAGTAGCATGCTTGGGAATGACTGTTTTAGTCATGGGAGGAAGTCTTCCTGCCCTCCAAACTTCCATTTAACATTGCGAACACTTACCCCGTGCTAGCAAAGTGCAGGCCTCGTCTTCTGGGCCGTACGGTCACAGCTGGGGTCACCCAAGTCACCTTTGCTGTAACACAAGGTGGGCAGCTACCAGGGCGTTTGCAAAGAGGGTGCCAGGACTCTGGAAATGTCTCTTCTCTGGTCTGAAATACTCCTGCTCTGGGCCTGCTGCGAAAGCCACCTCTGCTGGGCGTGTTTGCGGAGAGGGCTGAGGGTGTGCTCTGCAGACAACGAAGGGACAGAGGTAAAGGTGTTCCCGCGGCCTGGCTGGCTGGGGTCCTTCTGAAAGGATCACTTCATGCTGCTGAGACTTAGCCCTGTTGTTGAAATGAAAAAAAGAGCCAGCCAGAGGCGCACACTGTAATGAGGAGGGCCGGGTGTCAGCCGGCACTGATACAGAGGATGCTGTATTGGAGACAAAGCCATTGCTAGATTGGCCTGTGACGAAACAGATGAATACAGGGCATTTGCCAAAGGAAGAGCAAATGCAAGTGTCTCTCGCATTCAATTAGCTTTAAAGATTCCACCAGAAATATACAGGGACCCTGCAGAAGCACCAGGCAATGCCGGCTTTCAAAACGCAGAAGCCAAACAGCTGGGCTCGGAGAGAGGGGCTCCCAGCACGCTGCTGCACAGCTTGGAGGAGAGAGTGCCTTGGTCACACTCCCATGTCTACAGAAGGCTTCACAAGCTGTGGCCGTTGGAGGTGGGGTGAGGCACCAGCACACACAGATAAAGTAACTGGAATTCGTTACTGTTAGGTGCCGGTGGACAGCCCAATGCCTCGCGGTGGACAAACTCTATCCCTGCAGCATTCTGGTCTTTTCTAACTAAAGACACACAGTTAAGATGCTCTGCTTTGATTTGCTCATGACCGAACACCCTGAGGTGGGGTGAAGATCCAAGAGCACAGCTACCCTCGCCCAAAGCGGGAGGCTCATAAACTAAACAGACTGGCTCCTTAATTCAGCAGGCAAGTCTAATTGTTGCAACAGCCTTAATAGTTTTGGGACAAGCTCAGTCTTACCACTGGCCCTGCCAAATTTCCTACCTTTATTACCTAATGTTTCATGGTTATTGCCCATGCGCTGATTAGCCACAGCGACTGCAATACCCCAGCGTGCACGCTGTAATAAGCACACCTGTCACACTGGCGTATATCACTGTCAGGAATGGATCACATATTTCTCAGCTGCAGGCGTGACTGCCTGCGTTTCTAAGGGGCTCATACATTTTAATTTTCCCATGATGAACTCATATCAAGTTGACCTTTTTTTTTTTCCTTTGTTTTTTATTGAAAGCCAAGCCATCGATTCTACATCATTAAGAAAAAAGTTAACAGAAAAGTGAATCACATACTAAATGGCAAGTTTGATACTGGGGCAGGGGGAAATAAACATTACAAACAAACAAAAAATCTTACAGCTTCTATGAGATGTTTTGAGGGAAGGTGAATGCCACGGCTGTGTCTCCACCCCTGGAAATCTGGCTAAACCACTGTTTCCAGCTGGTAAATATTAAAAAAAAAACAACTAAGGGGAAAATAGATTTTATTTACAGGAGGAGCAGAGAAAGGTGGTGTTTAATATCACCACTGCCTGCAGCTAACTGGTGTCTGAGGGCCCGATTCTTCACCCTTCCATGGTTGTAGGCCTCTCGTTTCTCCAAAGGTTGTGGGTGAATTTAGTGTTTAAAAAAGCGGGGAACTCTGCCTCTGGGGTTGGACTAAATTCCCCCGTTACCTCAACCCCCCCACATGACACTCCGTGCATTGTTCCGGATCTCATCCTCCACTGAGCAGCAGTCAAACCACGAGGCTGTACTTTTGCAATGTCAGCTGGAGGGTCTGTTGGACTGAATACGGCGTCTGAACCCATCTTTTGGGAGGAAAGGCCAAAGAACTCAACAACAGCCCCGTGGTGGGGTTGGGAGCTGTCCCTTGTACATATTCTTTATAAAAACATGAGACGGCCAAAGCTGTCTATCCGAAGAGTGGAGGGATCTGCAAATACACATGTCTTGGCAAGTAACGTGGCACTGAGCAGCAAACAAACGGAGTCCTATTAGCACCCTTCCATTGAGGAGGGAACCATACAAAACCCTCCATTCGTGCCTGCTCTCCTCTCCTTTATGAATCCCATCCCAGGCCTTGTTAGGATGCGGTTGTCATGGCACTCGAGTGTGCAGCGAGCACACTCACCCTTCGCTCTGGGTGAGAGATGGTGCTGGGACTTTAATAAATTTACAATATTGTAGGGGGGATGCTAATGCAAATTTGTAACATTTCACAGTAAAATTACAATGGTATTGAAAAGACTTTGTCCTGAAAACACCATCAGTAGTAAGGTCGCCTCGGATTGTTCTGCAGGAAAAGGATTAACAATAGAAGATTAATTAAAAATTGCAAGCTGAGCCGACTGACGAGTGTTTGAGCTCAATTAATATTAATCGAAGGACACCTCTGAACACGGGGCTTGGAGAGGTAGAGCAGGAGATTCCCCTTGCGAAATGACAAATGGAATGCACCTTTCTGATAGCGCGGGCCTGCTGGATGTGACGGTGTCAGACGCAAACTGATAACGCTTTTTGTGGCGAGGAGAATGATTATTCAACATAAAACCTGCTGGGATTCAAGGACAACCCGGCAGCATCCTTTGTGTACAGTGCTCAGACTGGGCAAGTACAGGCTCAAGCCAAATGCCAGGAACTTTTCTATTAAAAATAAGAGCAAGGAGAGCTGACTGCCAGGGTGTTGTAGTAATCATGATTCGATTCAGTGCAAGAACAGCATCAAAAAGAAAATCTCTACATGAACGGTAGCAATCATTTCCTTGCGACTGTTACCTTATTTACTCTATTCAAATGGGACCTTGGGAATCTGAAGGACTATGTGATGCAACTTTGCACTTGCGTTGCACCTTTTATCAGAGGACCACTAAGTGCTTTACAAACAGCAAGTACCAGTCACCCCAGGGGTACATAAGCCTCAGCAGCTCCATTTTATGGGCAAAGAAATCAACATGCAGATTTGCCCGAGGTCCCCAAGTGAGCCAAGAGTGGAGCTGGACACAGGCTTGTGAGGCACATTTCTCCATTGCCCTTCCCTTGCGCAGTCATTTAACCAGGGCAGAAAAGCACAAAACCTCAGCACTCTGATTGTGCACGATTTCAATCCCGTGTTTGCATTACTGTATGCAATTGTGCAAAAGGCTGGCAAAGGAGGCCCCAAGCCCTGACTTCTGGTCCCCCACTCTCACCAGAGCATTCTCCTGCTTGAGGGAGGCTGCGAGGATTAGCCAGTGTCTGGACAGGAAGGGCCACAACACAGTGCCTTTCACTGTTTTTACGCAAGGCAGAATGTGCCTTAAAAGGTAAAATACTAGGCAACCCCCTTCCCAGTTATGGGACATGGACAGTGTCAAGAGGTCTAGGGTGCTTTGGGAGCCACATTACCAAAGGGTTGGGGCGGAATCTGTAGGCCAACATCATTCTTTTACGGAACGCCTCGTACTCGTCATCCTCCTTGCTCAGCTCGGCCGGACGATCAATTCCAAACCCAGCTCCGTCCACGGCAGTTGTCCCCCTGGATAAAAAAAGCACTCCCAGGTAAGAAGAGGCTAAGAGATTGTCCTCAGAAATGCATACTACTTTGCAAGATCCACCTTCTCTAGGGAGCCAAGATTAAGGAACGCTGAGGACCCATTCTATACCTGTATCCAAAGGCTACAGTCAGGCTGCTGTACAGTCATCTACTTCTGACTGTACAGCAGCACACTATGGTTATGTTCCAGCCCCATTCCTCCACTGCCAGCTGGAAATACTCTCTCCCAGAGCAGCAGCAAGTGCAGCTGCAATGCACATGCATGCTCGCTTAATGCTTTGTTGGATTAGAGCTGTAGCAGGGATAACTATGCTGCGCACTGCCCTGCTGATAAAACTCCAGCAGCCACAGTGGTCAAATGCACTGCACAGAAAGTGCCTGCCTCTTATCTGCCTCATCAAACAGAGGTCCTGGGATGTGGCAGCAGTTTTCTGCATGTGTCAGGCAGCTCCCTTACAGGTTGCAAAGTCTGGCATCAGCAGTGGCAGAACCCAAGCAAATGATCCCTTGCACAGCCCTGGGCAGCGGAGGCATGTTCCCCTCAGTGGGCCCGGAAGCTCCATTGTTCTGCGCATCATGATCTTTTGCCACATGTTGGGTTTGAGCACTCCTCCCCCACCCCCCAGACAGACTCCCCAAGAAGAAGGAGCTAGGCTGGTTTGCAGAGACACTTCATCTTTGCTTCACAATGACGCACACACACAGTCATCACTGGTAAAAGGGACCTCCTGATGGGAAACATTCTGACTTGCTCTGATCATCTGTACATAGTTTTCCTGTAGTTCAGGAGAAACTACTAGGAGCTGATCAATCCAATCGGTTTGGGATGCAAACGCTGCTTATATCAAGCTATTATCCCTAAAATGCCCACAAGCAAGAAAGCATTTCTGCCGAAGAGCCTGATGTCCAGCAGGATTCAGGGTCACAAACAAAGCGCTCGGCTCCATTTGGAACTAGGTTTCAAAAGCAGTTCGAGGAGTACCCTCTACTGGCAACTGCCCTCCACGCACAGTGTGCCAGAGACCAGCCAGGCTGCAGCAGAGCTCTCCAGCTGCAGAAGGCATGCACTTTATATCCTGATAGCAATTGCATACAGCACTTTACAAACATCAGTTAAATCCTCGCGTGGCTGTGTGCAGTAAGCCAGCATTATCTCCATTTTACAAATGAGGGAACTGAGACAGGGAGCGTGCCTCTCGCAAGACGGCGGTGTGCAAGTCACAGCTCCAGCTGCAGCTGGCTCATGCTCACATCACAGATATGTCTGGTGAACACTAACAAGTCCGATTCTGGCAGAAAATAGAAATTATTTTTTCTTTACTGAAAGGATTCCACGCACTGTCCAAATGATGAACTGCCGCCACATTCGTTCCAGCTGCTTCCAATAGGCTGTGATAGAAGCATCAATTATTGGCATGACAGAAAAGGACTGAATCAATAGGAGGAATAATTTGGCTTACTTGCTGACTGGGTTTTTAATCCCCTGTCCTTCAGTGCCGAGCCCCTCACCCTCCTTCCAGCCCATCTTCATCAGCATCTGATAGCCAATGTTCTCCACAGTCAGTTTGAATTCCTTGTATTCAGAATAATCTGGCTCACGACCTTCCTGCAGGGCAACAAAAGGTGACACTAGCTACTTCACCAGAGACGGGGACAGTGCAGGCATCAGCTTGTGCAGATTAAGGAGAGATCGAGCAAACAATAAGGGAAAGTCAATCGCTAACAGTTTCTTGGGATTCTCTTTCTACTTGACTACAGGGCAGCAAACAGGGAAGGGATGAAGCGCAGCAGAGCCCCGCGTATGCCATAATGCAGTCAGCAAGGAGTGGGGAACATTGCTGTGAGACTGCGCTGAGAAATACTAGGCTCCCAAATTCAACGTTGCTAAATGGCTTGGCTCCAGATACAGCTCTTATTTAAGCCAAGCTCTCAAGGGAGTTTCAAGCCTTGGGCTGGCTACAAAGAAGCACTATCAAGGATAGCAACACCAAGATGCTGTAGGGTTTAGGGAGGGACGGCAGTTCTCGAAGGCTCTGCATTGGCTCTTTTGTGAGCTTTATGCTTCTGCTTTACTACAACTGCCCAGATAAAGCCCCGTCTCCCTGCGTGCTGTCAGCCAACATGCATCCTGCTCCAGACAGGAGCTGCACACCCAAGGTAAATGTCCAAAAAGTGCACCTGTAATTGTGGACAGTGCCCTGCCCTGTTACTGACAGGCTCTCTTTTGTAACTTTGTGCAACTAGGCTTCTGTGGATTGCACACATTGTGCCCTTCCCTCCTCCCACAGCAACAGCACCCTGGGGAATGAGGCTATTTCATAGTTTCAGGGTCGGAAGGGACCTAATAGATCTTCTAGCCCGACCCCCCGCCAGGGCGGGAGAACAACCCAAAAACACAAACAAAACCACTCACCCTAAAAACAAAAACGGGACTCAAATGAGTCCAGCCAGGTAAGTATTTCCCTGCGTCTCCAGCAGTAGAGGAACTCCAGTGTCCTGCAGTGTCCCACAGGTGAACCAAACCAGTGTCCTGACTCGTTTTAGGTTAAATTCTAAGCACAGGTATTTCTGGGGGTGGGGGGGAGCTTGCATTGGGCTTGATGCATCTTAAACAAGAACTCCTCTATAAAGGCATCATTAAGAATAAGTGGCTCTCAACATGGCAGGCAGAAAGCACTGTCTAGTACGAGGCAGAGAATGCTTGAGTTCTACCCCTCCTTGCCAACAGGCAGATCTGAGAATCTCTCCGTGGCCTATGAAACCCTCACTCATTTCACCTTTAATGCCTTGAACGTCTCCATGAATTTCTCCAGCTCATCGGGTGGCAGGAAATCTCCAATGAAATGCTTTCCTCTGCCCATCTGCGTCAGCTGCTCGGCCCACTCTGCTCTCAACACGAACGATAAAAACAAAATGCAGAAATGATCAAACATTGCAGCTTTGATCTCAAAGCGCTTGACAAAGCATTAAGCTTCACAACCCCACGTGCAGTGGATATTATCTCCATTCTACAGACAGAGAAAATGGACGTCACAGAGGTGAAAGGATTTGCCCAAGAGCATTCAGCAAGTCAGCAGCAGAGGTGGGAATGGAATCCAAGAGCCCCGACTCACGATCCCCTGCTCTGACCAGAAGATCCCACACTCCACTCCGGAGGTCTCTCTCTGCAGAGCAGCAAACTAAGCGCAATGTCACTGCTCCCACTTTCCCACGCACCTCTGGTCTTGTCCATCTCCATTCGTCGAAGCTGATGTTCCCACGTCCCCAACTCGCTGTCCACCTCCTCATCGCTGTCATAACCATGCTGGTGTTGCTGAACTGCCTTCTCCCACATGATCTGCATTTCCTGCATGGCTCGCTTGTGTTTCATGATCATGTCGTACATCTGCTGCATCTAGGGGAAAAAAAGCAGCAGCCTTCTCAGCCAGCCAGCCAGTGCATGGGCAGCAGAGGTTTCTGCAAAGAGGTCCCTGGGGTTCTACAACACAGCCTGTGGCTGCCTCACCTCTGTACTATGCAGGCTATGATAACGACAACTCCCAGCAGGCAATGCTGTAACTTGATCCAAGTAGCCGGCCACTCCAATAAACAGGAGCATCATCTGCCGGCATCTTTGAGAGCTGCATCTCTATCTTAAAAGTTGAAGGCAGCTGCCATCTGATCTTCAAGTAGTTTAACGGCAGCTCCGGATTGCAGCAATTGGCAATTCTACTACAGCTTATGCTTCCCCTCAAGTTACAGCAACAGCGGTGTAAAGAAACAACAATAGCCTTTACAGGGTTTCAGCTGGAAGGGGAACAAAGTCCCATAGGAAGCATGCAAGAGGAGACAGGGCTCCTAATATGTTTAGTGGAGAAAGCGATGGACTAGACTTGACTCGCATCCCTCAATGCCCTAACCGGCATCGTTGTTGATGCAGCATCATGTATGTCCGAGGAATGCAGTAAGATTCCTCAAAGTTTGCTTTTTAGGCCTCTGGGAAGAATCTCTGCTTTTGCCACCTGTCTATTCCCACCCCACCCCCCTCCAAATGCCCAAATGCTGCAATGCAGCAGGCTGGCACACCAAGTAGCTCAGCAATCCAGGGCCTTACCTCCTGCTGCTCCTTCAGCTGCTTCTTCTGGGCTTCAGAGAGCTCTGTCACACCCACCAGTCCAACCGGCTTCCATTTCTCATAACCAAGACCCTTGAGGTCCTGAACTGAAATAAGCAAATGTTAAAAGGCTTTCAAATAAAGTGAGGCAGCTGTTTAGGATGGCAGAGCTGTGTCCCAGGATCCCTTTGACTGAAAGCCCTGCACTCCCTTTCACAGCACAACTCCTGGTAGGACACTGCAGAATCACAGAAGGAGACCCATTAGATCAGACTCCCCCTCCTGGCCAACTCAGAAGCGTTCCCTTCTTCAGTTTCTCCACGGTTTTGTCCAGTTTAAATTTTAGGAGCCTGGTCCTCAACTTCTCTTGGGAAGTTATTCCACATTCTTAACCATCATACTGACAGGAAGTCCCCCTCCCCCAAAAGCCCCAAGCTGTCTCTTCTTCATTTTATCTTATTTCTCCTAATTAAACTCTTCCATAAAAGATTCCTCCCCCAACAAAAAAAAAGAGAATGATATTTTCAGCATGAAGTCCCAAGCAGATTTTGGCCCATCAGCACACTGTTCAGCCAATCAGCATAGTAATTGTACCGTGTTTCCTATGTAAACAGCCACTTCATTCAGAACGATAGGCAAATGACGAACAGAGAGAGAGAGAGGCAGGCATTATTCTGTCTTGGAAATCACCGTTCCCAAAGGCGTTTTACTTTCTAATTTACAGAGCTCAAAGGGAGCGGTTCCAAGCATGTCAGCACTCCTGCCTTCAAAGAGGAGACGCTCTAAGTCTCAGCTCAACGATTCCATTGATGTATTCCTGTTCTGCTGTGCCCGAGTCTGAAGCCCCTGCTTTGAAATTATTTTACCTGCTGCTTCATTGGACAGCCCTGAAATTACGTTTTAAGCTCATCCAGGCAGGTACCCCACTGATTTGAAATGACCGTGCAGCACTGTGCGTTCGGAGGGGCATTTTAAAGAGTCCTAAATAGGCATTTAAAAAATGTATTGCTGCAGCATGAAATAAAATAATAAAAACATTGCTGGGGCCATGGAAGAGAGATTTACAGTGGAGAACTGCTTGCAAGGCTGCTCCATTTGTAACTCTTGGAGCCAGCAGCTCCCTCTGCGAAGCATGAGAGTCAAGACTAGAACGGTTTAAATATTTAAAGGATTAAAAAAAAAAACCCACTAAAAAAAAACAAACCCTCACACAACTGCACTTGAAAGTACCTTCCATTTTTCAGTACAAGAAGAAAGATTTCTTCTTCCTAATGGCTGCACAAACCTCAGTTCTAATGCAAGTCCAGGCTATGGCTAAATGATGCTTCATTAATTATTCACTCTCTATTAATTATGAAGCTGGGTAATAACAGGATCATTGTTCATGACACCAAGTGTCTGTGCAGCATGCTAATTAGGCCCCTAGGGTCTTCTCTCCCTTTCCCTTATCCTCACTTAGGGCAATTGATCCGAGCACTGTTGCCTGCCCTCCCTCCCCAAATGCTCTCTGCCAAGCACATCACAGCCTGGAAAGTAGCTGCCTTCATGCTTGCCTCAAACGAGAACACAAAGGGATCTGGCTGTCCGTGCGCATGCAGCACATGTTACAGGCACTCTTGTAACCACCCTCAGCAAGGAACTATGAGAGCAGGAGAGAAGGTTACAGAAATGGCTGGGCTGGGCTGGTCTGGGCCCGACCCTGTGAAGTGCTGAGCACCCACTATACCCAACAATAATGAATGAGAAATGCAAGCCTAGCCGTCACATTACCGAGAAATAAATAGCCTGGTTCTCCCATCCATGGCGAGATTTACAAGGGGCTCCACTGTGGATTAGGGATTTTTTATTTTACTTTATTTGCCTGGGTCCACAAAGAGCCATGTTATATGCAGACAAAATTGTCAGAAGGAAAAGGAGAGGCAGGCCCCAGATGTTTCATATCCGGGTGGTTTGTAGCCCACTTAATTAGCAGGGGGTTGCTAAGTGAAGGACAAGCTGCACAGCTGCTTGCTGCCCCTTTACTTCAGCAGGGAACAGCTTCTCTCCTCAGTTGGAACTCATGTCCTGGGCAGTTATTGGAAAGCAACACCCTTTGAAATAAAAGTTGGAGCACCTTAGTGGAGCTGTGCATTGGTTTGCTTTGCCTCTATATTCCTCTGGATAGCTCACAAACCCTCACCCTTGCAGGAGGCTAAGGAACCCAACTCTACAAAGCTTTCAGGTCCTACTGCATAAAAACAGATTATGGGATTTAAGATTAGTGGCATCAGGCTAGAGTTATGCCAACAGCCACCAAAGGACAAGGCACATCTCTTCCATCTCTTCTCTCTAGCAGGTCTGGGAGGCAGGGAAAAAGTGCTTTCATTCTTGGAAAAGCATGTCCTTGCAAAATATAACCTTGGGGCACAACAGAATTAACAGCATGGACGGTAGCCACAGCACTGGTAGATTACCTGGAGATCTACCGCTACCCATAGACCTGGAGAGAATCTTCCACCTTCCTCATGCTGGGAGTGTATTCCCATTAGGGGCCAAAGGAGCCCTTTTGCTATAGATGTAGCTGACGGACTTTGGGCCCTAAGTCTGCAGAGAACATTAATTAAAAGTGAGGCAGACTCAAAACAGGGCCCCTCCCTCAATCCACAGCTAGGTTCTGATGAGTCTCGACACCCTGCATAGGCTCTCCCACAATGCAGTGGACCAAGTAACCATATACATATTCTACCAAGCATCTCAAGTACATTAGGCCTGTCAGGATGTAGGAAATTAGGTATTTAAGTATCAATATATTTAAGAAGAGCCTCCTTTCTGTCCAAAAGAACAATATTCCCCGCTCTACATGATATTGATTTACTACAGAAAGCAGACAGGAAAAGAACAAAAAGAGCAGCCATATGCTAGACATACAATGCTCCACAGCAGCTATGAAAATGGGGCTAGGAAAGTATGGACAAGAACAAACGGCAGCATATCTTGTGCCTCTTGACCCCAGTGGGGCCATGGCTATGATATGGCCCTCCATTCACCTGCTAGGTCAAAGAATGTGAATTCTGGAAAGGGGCTATTCCAGCTGACCCAGAACTGCACTTCCCCTGCAGAGCATTAACACAACATTAATGGCTGATTTCTTATGGCTGGCAGATTGTTCGCTGTCCTTTCCTTTAAGATGACACACTGCCCTGTGGAAAGTGAGCGTGAACTACAGTGAGCATGTCACTGTCTAATTAAGTGGAAGCTGCAGGAAAAAGTGAGGGGAGATTTCAGCAAGGTGGCGCACTGGGGAACACAGCTGCCAGACCCTAGCTGCAGTATAATGAGCTAGGCTGGAATTTGCGTATTTTACTTTGATGGCGTCTGCTCAACTTTGGCATTTTACTTCTTAAAAATGATACAATAGAGAAACCTAAGGGGCAACAAGCCATCTAAGCCTGGCTTTTCCTCACCAGCCCCACTGCAACTGTTAGCAGAGCTGCTAATGGCTGCAAGGAGAGGAGGACTCTGCAAGTCAGAACACGGAGAGAATTCTTCATCTGATAGCTGGCTCAATAGGAGCAGGAATACAAAATCAACCCGGTGGCACATCAGGCTTGGTACCCCTCCTCCTGCATCTCTAGTGAGCCGTGTAATCAATTTTCCTGTCTTGGGCACCGGCCAGTATCTGAAGCTTTAGAGGAAAGAAATTGCTACAATATACCCCATCATGTCAAATGCTGAATACAGGGCACACACAGGGGAGAGATGGAGGGCTTCTTTCCTTGCCCTTCTGGTGTTCAGCTGCCTCTATGATGCACATCGCTTACCCTTTACCCTGGTTAGGCATAAGGACCAATGTTATTAATGGCCACACAATTATCCAGTCTCTAAAAACCAAAGCACAGGACTTGACTCAATGATCTGCGTGGCAGTGGCAGCCTGAATTCCAGAGGCTCACTTTGTGCTTAGAGAATTACATGTGGTCTCACTCTGCAGTTCACAAAATCAGTTTACTTTCTACCATTTGCCCCATATCTTCTCCCTGCCTGTGGCAAGGAGGCCCTGGTTGGAAAGAGAGGACTCCACCTCCTCCGTTTTTAGACGTCTGTCACTATTTCACCTGTAGTTTGTTGGCCGTTTTATCTTTGATCTCTTTTTTCTCATTTTCTCTCACATTTCCATATCCCTTCCCCTTGACACATTAGATAGGCAAAGGATCCCAGACAAACTTTCAAACTGTCTCTGGAAAATGTCTGCATTTGCCTGTTGTACTTGAAAGGCTCAGATTTATGTGAGCACACCTAGCACAGGCATATATGGGACAGGAGGGAAGAGCAATGTCCCCTGGTATTTGGTGCAAACTGCACTCTAGAAAGAGGCCTGGGCCATGATATTCCAACACCAGAGGAGGATAGTGAACCCAAAGTGCAGTCCCACAAACTGAAACGGGCTCTGAAAGCTGGTGACTTGTATCCCTGAGCATGAGGAGAAGAGCTATTTACATGTAGCAACACTTCTGATCAGTTGAGGATGGAAGTGCTGTCTGAGGATGGTGGCTTGCCACGGGGAATAAGCACAGTTCAGACTTATATTTGTTTTCTAAGTATCCCTATTCCTGAAGTGAAATAGATCTAAATAGCATAGAGGCTGAAACCATAATGAGCTACAGCACAGCGGGGTTTTAAAGATAGCTGAGGGACGATAAGATCCAATCCCCAGTGTCAATGAGATAAAGTGCTTTATCTGGGTTTGCACGCAGGGAGAGTTAGTGGCTAGACTTAGCCAAGAGATAGTGGGTTGCTGACTGGGAAGATTACAACAAGAGATAGACTTGCTGGGTTTCCTGTTTAGAGATCCAACCGGGCTAGGAAAGAACACAGCAAAGAAAAAAAACCTCAACCAGCCCATACTACAGAACCACTAACCTGACAGTGGGGAGGGGGAGGCGCTCAGGTCGTGCTGGGCAAGCTCTGGCGGGGGCAATTCAACTTTCTCCTCCTCCGGCCCCCACCTGCTCTTCCTTTTCTTTTTGGAAGCGGTCACTGGGGCTGGTTTAGGAGAAGTAGAAGCGGCCGACGACAATGATGATGGCAAGGATGATGATGATGATGATGATGTTGATGTTGATGTTGATGATGATGATGACGATGACGATGACGACGGTGGCGTTGCTTCAGGAGCGATCTTGCGTTTCAAACTGGATTCCAGAGCAAGGGGTGCCCCTGTAGGGCTGCTCTTGGCTTTCCGGAACTCCTCCAGCTTCTGCCGGTAATACTTGTAGCCTTTGCTGTTTGGCTCATATAAAAACCTATGGAAAAAAGAAAGTTTGCAGACGAGAGTTAAATTCAGGCCCAAATCTCATTCTGGCCCAGATCTCTCCTCTCTGTATCTTCCTTGTGCTTGGCTGATGCATGTTACACTAAGCTCCTCTGAGCACAGACCTCATCTGTTTGTAAATGGACCACAGCATTTACAGGGCTCTGTATACATGTGATCCTCATAAGACAGTGATTCTATTTATTCTCCTGCTCCCTTCATAACCACAAGGTACTGCATGAACAACACGAAGTTCATCCTGAGACCATGTTCATGTTGTGCGTGCTGTGTTCCAGTTCACAACAGAAGCAGGGGCTTCTTTTACCGTCATGGATGCTTTGCTGTGTATGCCTCCTGCACACAGGAGCACTTTCCTTTTGGGTGGAGAGTGAGCCCTGTCTGTGGGAGGAGTGCAAGGTGCCTGCAGTTTGACAGCTACATGGATCAGACACGCTCCAATTTGCTACAAATGCATTTGCCACTTCTCCCCCAATTTAAGAATCTTAACAAGATTCTTAACAAGAATCTTGCCTCCTTTTAGCTTCTCCCCTACCTCATTCAGAGGATCAGCTTAATATGGAATATATCCTCCTAGCAGGAATCTGTCTGTTCTTGCAGAAGAACACGCTCTGCTAGGTAATAGATCTTTTCCATCTATTACCACTATGATTTTACACAGGTGCACAGGCACATGATTCCAATGCATTCTGAAATCCACTGGGGGTGTGATCTTCTATTCCTTAACTCAGATAAGAGTGCCATTAACTTCAGTGGGAATTGTGGCAGGACAAAGAATACTGGATTGGGCCTTCCATGAGAAATATCTGAAGTAACCAATAGAAGAGATGATGCCTGACCCCAGCAGGGCTTTGAGGGAATTAAATAATGAAGCAGCTCAGACATTAGCATGCGTGTTTGATAAGTCTTTCAACCAACGGGGGTTACAGAGGGCTAGAAAGCAGCCAATGAAATGCCAAGATTTTGAGAAGGAAGAGGCTAATTAAAGATTGGTGAGCCTCACTTCTCTCCCAGGGAACATGTTGGAATTGTTTATAAGGGCAGAAACAACAAGCTGCTTGAGCAGGCCAGAGAAAGAAGCCAGACAGTTGCCAATGGGGGGGTTGTGAGGAACAAGGCCTGTCAGATAGACAGAGACATTTTTCAAAAGGTGACTTAACTATGGAGGAGGGACCCTGGGTGAAATCCAGTTAAGGAACCCTAAAACGTGCTACAGGGCATTCATCACACGGAAGCAGTTCAAACACAGCAATAAACAGAAGGCCCGAATGAAAGCTGGCTGTAGGGAGAGACACAAAGATTAGAACCAATGTCAGTGCATGTCATGGATGGGGCTAGCTAGTGGATGTACACTTGGGGAGGTGGCACTGCAGTAGCAATGCCAATCAGTTGGTTTTGAGTTGGCATGTCCTCCTAAGCAGGTTTAGCCTAAAATCATCATTTTTAAGGCACACTGAGGGTGCAAGTCCACACACACGTGCTGTTAATGTGCCTTAAAAAATGCCGATTTTAGGCTACTCCCACCTAAATTTTATACTTGTATCAAATTTAGACGCAATTAACTAAACTGCATTAGCCCACGTTTATGCAATTTTCGTGGACGCTTATGCGCGTTTACACGTTAGACGCTTTACATGCATTAAATGCAGTGTGCATCAATGGACACATACCATGTTAATGCGCACTAGCATGTGGGCTAATGCAACTTAGCTAATCGCACCTAAAAGTTAATGCGCCTTAATGCACATTAGTGTCCACGTGTAGATATGCACCTAAATTACCTTAATGTGCCTTAAGCAAAGGTGTATTAAATTTAGGTGTGTGTAACCACATACCAAGACACGCCCAGTGTTTTCTACTCAGAGATCTCAGATCTGGGCCAGGGGTTCTGGGATTGGCCAGCTGTAGAAACACCCTGGAGCAGGCACTGTCCTGTGGGTTCCTTCACTGGCAGCAGGGTGGCCTCTCCAGCACTGGGCAGAGCTTTTTATTATTTTTCATTATTTGTAACAGTGCCACAAATTAAGCCCCATGTCCTCCCCAAGTGTCACTCCAATCCCTTTCCCCTATCTGATCTGCTGCTTTCTGCTCCCTGTCCTGTCTGCCACAGTGTTGCATGTTCCCTCCCTGATATGCTGTGTCCCACAGACTGAGGCTGCCCACAGCACATGTTCTGTAGGTTGGCCAGCCCCGATTTATAATGTGGCTGATGATGCTAGCAAAGTATACACATGTACTGAACAGCCCTACGGGAGCAACAGCCTCTGCCCCTCTGCTCTACAATCTTAGATTTTGATCCTACAGAGCTCTGTGTGGGTGGAGCCCAGATGGACTGGGACCTACAACAGATTAAGGGTAATGGAAAGAGATACAATATACATGCCAAGCACCCAAACAGGGGAAACGCATGGCTCCAGTTCCACACCCTCTAGTACAAGTAGAGTACCTTTTAGTACAAGTGAAAACAAAATCGCCATGGACTCACTCCTTGTAGACATTGAACTATGATTAAAGACAGAAACAGAGGAGAGAGTAACAGGATTGGGAAGAGCATTCTGGGCAAAGAAAGCAGCAGGAACTGAAGTATAGAGGTAGCTGTAGAAGCAATGGACAAACAGGACTTCAGGGCAGATAATGGAAATTGCAAGTCAGAGAAGGTCTGGATAAGCAAAGGACAGGACAACTAAGCTACATCATACGCATGCACAAGGACGGTCTGTCAGATGGCTGTACAAAGGGATGAAGAATTAGGACTCCTGGGTTCCATTCACAGGTATGACACTAATTCTCTTTGAGACCTTGAGCCAATTACCTCTCTGAACTACAAGGCTTGATTAACATCTGTAGAGCTCTTCCTGGTGGTTGGATGAAAGGCAGCATGGAAATGCAAGATATCAGTGCAGTGTAATAATTCTGTCAATTGTATCTTAAATCCTACCATGATGGTTTGCCTATCACCCTTTCCAAACAACTAAAGAGGCAAAAACGCTCAGTGCAAGGCTTCATCCTTTACCTGAAAGCATGGTTCTCTCGGTTGTTCTGCAACGCAATAGCTTCCACCTCTGGACCCCCGTCTGCTATGAACCTGGCCAGTTTCTCAGCAAAATTCTTTGTTTCTTCATCCTCTGGGGGTGAAACTTTAAGCAGGCTGTCAGTACTGGGCCCAACTCACACAACCAACAGTCAAAAGCCTATCTGTTCTAAGAACCCCAAGGGTAGAATAAGGGCAAGAGGAGGAGTTTATTTTTAAGAATGATGTAAAGAAACACAATCAAATGATCAATAATTCATAACACTAGGAAAGCAATGCGGTATCAGCTAAGGCAATGACACAATAGCTAGGGAACTGGTGGGTAGGTGGGAAGTGGGGCTGCCCAGGACTTCTGCTCATTTTCTTTGTGACAGGGATAGGAAAGAAGGGGTAAATAACAACCCAGTTCTCTCCTTCATACACTCACATTTGTGTTTATCCTCCTGTGGTGGGTATTTGCCCAGAGCACAGAAATATGAGGTGAACAGCCACCTCTAATTTAGGGCTCTGCTTCTGACATCACTAGGAGGTTTGCCCTGATGCCAGGAGCCCTAGGACACAAGCACAGAAGGTCAGACCTGGAGAGGGTGCGCTGTGGGTTACTACCATCAGTGCACTTCTCATGGCTGTTTTTCAAGGGGGCAGCAGGCAGTGCTCCAGATGGAGCCCAGGCCCAACCCTAACCCGTAAGAGGCAGCTACTGCTGCCCTATTCCAATAGAACTGAGAAGGCTCTGATTGTGAATTACATGCGATTGTCCTTCATGCAAAGCCAGACAAGTTTATTATTTAGCTACAAAAGCCTTACACGGCAATTCTGTGCTACCAGCAGCAGAGTCTAGTGGAGCCAGGGAACCTGATTCACTGCACAACCTTAAGCAAGTCATAACCTTTCCTCTGCTCAGTATTGCCCATCTATGAAGTGGGGAGAATATCACCCAGCCCCCAAGGTGGAGTTAATATCAAGTAGTTGATGTTTGTAAAGTGCTTTCCAGGTCCAAACTCTATAAAAATGGTTCTCACTGGGTACATGTTAGCTAATTAAATCTCAACACCCCCTTTATGTAGATGGGAAAACTGACACAGAGGGTAAGTGATTTACTAAGGCCACACATTAAATCCAAGGCAGAGACTGGACTAGCAATGAGGAGTGCCTGGCTCCTAGACAACCCTTAGCTCATTAGATTGTTCCTTCCTCCTAATATATGTAATTACATTTTGCTGCCCTGGGTGTTAGTTCATTGGCAGATCATCCACTCCAACAGCTTTCCCATGTGAAGACACAATCCCCAATTTGCAACAACCCAGCCGCTCATCATGGATTTAATTATGTAGCAAGCAGAAAGTAATGGGTTCATATGGGACTAAGTAGCAGAACCTGGGGAATGTTCAACAGACCATTTTCATTCAGACCCACCTACAGTGAAGATAACAAACCAAATAAGAAGAGCTAAGAGAGGAGGCTTGTCCTAAGCCTGTTATCATCCAGGCCTGAAACTCAGGGTAGAATTCTCTTTCTTGTAGCTCACTCAGATTTTGGGGAAGTATCAGAGAACTCTTCTGCTGGGGCAGTCCTGCCATCTCTCTGCATGTTGAACTTTCACCGACTTCAGTAGGACTTGCATGCATGGCAAGTTTGATACCATAAGGTGTCACATATTCCCCTTTTGGAACACTGCTTTACTCACAGCCAACAAGGAATAAAAGTCACTGTTTATTCCTCTTAGATCAGTTCTCAATGCATCTACTTAGCAATTATAGAGAACACTGACAAAAAAAATGTCACTTTAATTTTGTGGCTAAGAATGAGATTCCCCAGCCCCTCTGACCCCCATTTACCTTTCTGAGAAGAGGATGTCTGTGAACTCTGATTTTCTTTTCTTATCTCTGCCACTTTCTTCCTGTAGTAAAGGAATTCCCTGCTGTTCTTATCATGTAAAAATCTAGGACGGAAAAAGAGAGAGAGGAAAATGGGCACAAACCATTTGTTAGTGACAAGTAAGCATAAACACTAAGACTCTGGAATTTAATATCTAACTCTGAATTTAATTAGAACGTCTATAATTATAACACGTGGAGCCTGTATAATACTTTGCTTTATATGCATAAATCTCACAGCACTTTACAAAGGAAGATATGCCATGTTATTCCATTTTACCAGAGGAAATGACTTGTCCAAGGTTACGTAGCTGATCAGTAGCAAAGGAGACTGAACAACATGGCCTTCCGAATCCCAATGCAGCACCTTTATTTCCTAGGCCATGCTGGCAGAGACAGTCAGGACTCATGGGTTCTGTTCCCAACTCTGCTTTTGATTTGCTATGTATTCACAGCAGTGTGATTGACAAGCTTGGGTCTCAATTTACTCCACTATAACACAAGGACAACTGAATGGCATTCCCTCAAAGGAGATAATGAAGCTTTAACTGACTAGTGTTTGTAAAGTGCTTTGTAATTTATGGCTAGAAGGAGAGTATTCAGGATACAGTAGAGTATTCTTAGGCTGCTTTGTGAAAAGAGAGGAAACTGCACAACGCAGCTCAAAACCACTGAAGAGCTTATGCATGCAGGGCCAAAGCTCTTCATGTAAACAGACAGAACAGCGACTCGGAAAAATCAAGGCAAGAGCACACTTACGAAAATGCTGGATTATCCTTGTAGTCTTCCATAGCGACCTTCTCTAATTCTGGTCCCCCTTCAGCCACGAACCTAGCCAGCTTTTCCACCACTTTTCGGGTCTCCGCATCCTCTGGGGGTAAAACTTTAAGGAGGCTGTCAGTACTGAGGTTCAACTCACACACCAAACAGGCAACAGGCACATTACCTCTAAGAACCACAAGTGGCAGACAAGAGCAGAACAGGGATGAGGAGAAAAAGGATGAAATGGGGGAACCAGTCTTACACAGCAACACAAGTTACAAATCTAGACTATGGTCAAGCTTTACAGGTGGGGATGTCCACTCAATATGGAGCTTGGGGCCCCACGGCTCAGCCTGGGGCTACCTGTGTGGTACATGGCCCTTGCTGGTGTAGTCTATGGGGCATGTGGCCCCCGCCTGCTGTTGGACAGTCCTGTGCTGGGTCCTAAGCTTCTAACAAGCCTAATCCACACAATGCACAAAAGGGATGGAACATTGTTGCATCTTCTCTCATATAAATATATTGCTCATGAAGGATTACAGAGTTCAGCTCCCAATACATTGTTATTTACACACAGAACAGGGACAGCCCGTGCAGGGGAAAAGTAAGCGCTCTCACACTGCATGTGAACGTGGGCCTCCAACAGAGGTGAGAGGAAAGCTGCTGTTGGTAGCTAACAAGGGCACCAATTTATATCAAATGTGGTGCGGAGTCTGACGTAGGACATGTGTTCACTGAAAAGCAGACAAGACCAAACATTTCATAGACAGCTATTACGTGGGAGCAGATGAATTTGTAATCCCTGACTCAGGCTACAGTTGAATTCACAACCTAAGAGTGAAAGACACTGCATTCTAGCACCAAGGTCCTTAGCAGACTGGTCTTTCCCCACACCTATTTTTCAACTGCTGCAGTTATTAATTCCTGCTTTGGATTCAACTGTGTCAGCATGTACAGGTCTGCTTGACGTTTTGCTTTCTGGAAGTTCAGAAATAGCCTTAGCAAGACATGTTCTTGATGTATTGCAATTTCACATCACTCACTCACTCACTCATCACATACTAAGAAGCCTACATAGTGGGTATATAAGTATCCCAAAGTTAATTCTACTCATAAACAATTAGCAGATATGAACGGGAATTCAAGGTAGGAGCCAAGAAGCAGGGTTCCTTAGTGAGTCCACCTTACAGAACCTGAGCAACTTTTGGTTATTTGATATGCTGAAGCATTTTTTTAATTATTATTCTTATTGCTATTCTCAGCCACAGAGCAAGGAAAGCAGCCCAGTCAAGGTATCCCAGAGAAATGTTCTAACAAAATTCTGGGCAAAAGGAAGGAGCTTGCTTTTACCTGATTGCCATAGCATGCCTTGTGCTTAAACAGCACTCCCGAAATGGGAACCTTTCATTTTCACCTGATTCAGTTTCATTCCAAATTCACTGGTTTAAGAAGAATTATGCATCACCCAGGCTGCCTTCCAGCTGCAGAAAGGCAGACTCCCTCTTACCATGAACGGCCAAATCGGTGTATTAAGGACTGGGGGAAGACAGTTGTTTACAGGGTGAACTTTGTAATGGTTAAGGGTTCTGGCTTGGCAGCCCTGGAGAAAGAAACCCTCTGTCCACAGACCGGCTGTAACACAGCAGGGGGAAGAGAAGCTTTTCCAATGGCTGTCAAAATTGAAACAGTTCCAAACTGGATAAGCAGTATCAAGCGGTGAGTTCAAAGTTCACTCTCTATGGTCCATTCAATTTTTGGCCTCTCTAACGAAGCTGGAAGCATTGGGGCCTATTAACACCAACTGTGGTGTTTGTATTTTATGGTGCAGATGGCACAAACAAGACTGAGAACCATGGAGTCACAGCACACAGGAAAGCAGGACCTTGACCTTTTTGGTGGGAAAGCATCAGGCAGTAACTCTTCCCCATATGAGGATTCTCAACAGAAATCTGAGGAAGTATTTCACCAAGCCCAGTTTTCTATGTGAATTTCTATTGCTAATCTAAGTGACCCTGCATACAAAAATCAACAAGGGCACAGTAGAGCTGCATGTAACTTACCTTTAATTTCTAACCACTGCTCATAATCCTCCTCTTCATCATCGTCAGGTGACTGAAACACACTGAGGCGGTTAGCCACTGGTGTCTGTTTGGAATGGGAGTAGTTCTTCATTTGGTTCAGCATGCTGCTCATGCCCAAGCTGGGACGTTTTCCAAGCAGGATGGGTTTCTTCCCAGCACTTGGTGCAGAGGTGCTTGCAGGGACGCTGGCAGAACTAGGAGAGGGATCTCAGAAAAGAAGAAGGAGAGGTAATTTCTGTATGTTATTTCTGATCGAGTCTCAGGAAATTACACATAACAACATATGCAGTTGCATTACTGCAACAGTGCATTCTTTTTAGTGTAGACGTAAAAATATTGCCAAAAACCTACCCAAGAACAATTGCACCATTTGGTGCAATCTTTTAGAAAGTACATTTCATGCTCAAATAATGTACTTATTTATAAAATTGCATCCTCGCCTATCACAAAGCAGGTACAACACAGATGACAAAAATACAGGATTTCCTATTATCGACTGCCTCACTAAAATATCTCAGCCTCTTCTGTGCTGATGTTTGAAGACATGCTGGTAACTATTCTACAGTCTTGCATATTGAGCATTAGAGCATCTCCCATAATGAAGAAATGACTCCCGTTGCTCAGGACTTAACCTACCAACGTTTGACTTTTCCTTCTGCAGCTTGAGGAACTGCTGAAGAAAGCTGCCGTCGTTGGCAAACTTGTTGGAAACTGAGGCTTCGTTTTCAGCACTTTCATCTCTAAACAGAAGGGAAAATGACAACACTTGATCATGCTTCACTTGACAGAAAACCTGGTAAAAATGACAGTAATCACTAATCTCTCAAGGCAAAAGAGAGGCGCTGTTCTTAACTTGTTTTAACATCAAATACTGCTTAAAAGATTTTTGATAGGTGAGATGTATGTATTGGATTTACTTATTAAGCTAAGCCAGAACACTGTTAACGATTTAGCAGATGGAAAAGTGAAGTAAAAAAAATTAAGTGGCATGCCCCATGAAATTAACAGTCTGAGTAGTGGTCAAAGCTAAGGTTAGAATTTGGGTAGTTCCCTGCCTTGCTGTCCAGGGTTCACACCATGTCCCTCTCAGCTACCTGAGATAACATTTCCAGGCAGCAGAACCATGGAGTTTGTTCGCTATGGAATTACCTACGTGTCCCACCCACGTCATTCCTTGTCCTTCTGCTTGCAAGTTTTCTGCACCACTTTTCTGAGAAGCGTGGGCATTTATTCAGAGAACTGTGCTAAGTGTAAACCGCTTTCATTATACAGGTATCCAACAAAAAGCGCCAGGAAAAAAGATGCAAGACCTGCTTACGACAAGGTGCTTAACTGTTGTGGTTGTTTCTGTTAGACTACAACAGAAGATCCCTATCCTAGCAAACATTCTTGTTTAACTACATTTAAAAAAGGAATGTATGATCCCCGTCACAAATGTAATGATTCCCTAGCCAAAATTTAATAATGAGATATGAAATGAATACCCACTCATTGGGCCGAGGGGGGTGCTGAACAACCAAGTGATTCTGTTTTGCCTGCTGCTCCAGTTTAGCCTCAATTTCTTTCTTCTTTTGTGCTATCAGCTCCTCTTGATGGAGGATGTTCATGTTCATCTTGGCAGACTTGGGTGTCGTGACCCCAAACCATCGGCTAGCTTTCCCTGAAGAAAAAGAGTAGGTTAAAGGAAAGAAGAGGCTTTTCACCTTGAAGTGGGTGCTGGGGATTTCTCACGGTAGATGGCCGATCACTGCAAGGGCACAAGGGAAATCAAACCAGCCACGTGTTACTTGTGCCACGCCTGATTTTTATGTGAACCCCTACTCAGGAATGTTGGCTCTGTCCATGAGCAGATGCGCGGGGAGAGAGGGAAGGTCCTAGTGCTTCTCCATCCCTCATTGCTTCCTGCTACACCAAAGTTTCAAAGCAACAGCCTGGCAGCGGCAGCATCATTTCTAGTCAGGCAGTGCTGAGGGAGTTGATTGACTTCATGGCTCATTGCAATCTACTGGATCCCAACTAAGCTCTTTATTCCACAGGTGTTAATGGTCCTCTCTTCTTTTAAACCATCTTGATGTTCCCCTCTCAGCTACTCTGTGTTCTGCTGTCCGTTCACTGCTCCTGCTCACAACGCTCCTATTTCACAGCCCTGCAGATTGTTTTTAACTCATTCCAATGACATTCCAATTGGTTTTTGCTTCAATCGGACACCGAATCACACAGCCCTCAGCCCCTTGCGTATTAGTTAAATTAGATTATTTTTAATTGGAGAAAGAACAGGTATTCTTTTATAGGCGATGCACACAGCGTACCTCACCCTCTGCACCCTCCTTTTCCAAATTCTCCATCTGTGCCCTTAACATTCAACTGCTCACGCTCTCCTTGTAGTGCGTGTGCATGCATGTGTGTAGATGTGTGTCTGCATCTATCTATCTCTCTCTCTATATGTGTGTGTCTCTCTCTCTGTGTGTGCGCATGTATATATATCTCCATGTGTGTGTGCATGCGCGCGCATATCTATATCTGTATATGTGTGTGTGCGTGTATCTCTCTATATATTTGTGTGTGTATGTATATATCTATATCTCTATATATATAGGTGCGTGTGTATCTGTATGTGTGTGTGCGCGCGCACGCGTATCTATATCTGTCTGTATGTGTGCGTGCGTGCACCTCTATATGTGTGTGTATGTGTGCGTGCGTGCATGTATCTCTCTCTCTATATATATATATGCGTGTGTGTGCATGCATATATATATATATATATATCTATATCTCTATATAAAGGGGCGTGTGTGTCTATATAGGGGGGGGGGTGTGCGCGCGCGCGCATCTATATCTCTGTGTGCGTGCGCGTACCTCTCTGTATGTGTGTGTGTGTGTGTGCGCGTGTCTCTCTCTCTCTCTATATATATATATAATGTGTGCGCGCGCGTGCATATATATATCTATATCTCTATATATATATAGGGGGGATGTGCGCACGCATTTATATTTCTCTGTCTGTATGTGTGTGTGTGCGCGTACCTCTCTGTATATGTGCGTGTGTATCTCTCTCTCTCTCTATGTGTGTGTACGTGCGCGTATATAGATCTATATCTCTCTATATATAGGGGTGTGTGTGTCTATATGGGGGGGGGGTATAGACGTGCGCACTGCTCCGAGGCGCAGCTGCCCCCCGGAGATGCTCAGGCAGGGGCTGGAGCGCGGCAGAGCGACGGCTGCCCTGTCCGTCCCCAAGGTTGGGGGGGGCCCTCGGGAGGTCGCATCTCGCCCAAAGCGGGACCAGCTCCCGCTGCATCGTCCGAGCCACGGCTCCGCGGAGCCGGGTCGCGGACACCTCGGAGGACGGAGGCTCCCGCACCTCCCTGGGCCGCCCGTCCCGTCCCGGCGTCGCACGGCCCTGCAGCGCGGGGCGTTTCCTAACACAGCATCGCGGAGGAGGAGGGTTGAAGGGCCCCAGGGGTCCCATCCCCGGTCCTTTCTCCCGCTGCGACGCCCGATCCCCACCAGACCAAGCCCAGCGCCCAGCCCAGGCTCCGCCCGAGGCCAGGGACGCCCCGGGCAGCCCGCCCCCGCGCTCCTGGTGAGCGAGGTCCCCGACATCCCGCCCCTCGCCC